ATAAAATTTTATCAGTGGAATAACAAAGGCTGACATTAAAGTGTGAAAATTTTATTTTTTCTGATGTTTCTGAGATGGAAGGAGCTATTAGAGTTCTTATTTTGGATTATGTCTAAAATTGGGAGGCAGAGTTGACATTTTAGGCTCCACAGTGTAACCACATAGTGCCTCTGAATTTGGTAGCAAATTTCACAGGTCCAGTCCATTGTATGTTTATTATGAGACATTTCTAGATCAGACTTTTGCTTCAAAGGTGTCTCCACACTCAAGTTCTTGCACTTCTCCAAGATGGCTTCTATCTGTCTGCCTCTGGTATATGCTTATGGGGCTGCAGAATTTTTATGGTGTTCTGGCCAGCTGAAAGCTCTTAGTATGGTTTGATGGAAGCTCCTGAGTGTCTTTTCCTTGTTACATGTTCTTTCCCAGGCTGGAAAAGCAACTTGTTGTTCCCAGTGAAATAGCTTGTCCCAGGGCTAACAGTAAATAACTTCTCATTTCCTACTTGTGGGTGTTCTGCTGCATGTGAGAGACCCACCTGGTTGTCTCTCCTCAATTGTGGATGATGCCCAGCACTTCTGAAAATAGGGCTTGGGTTGGGCTTGTTGGAAAAACCTAGTAAATCCATCAGGTTCTGAGAATGTGCTCAGTAGCTCCCAGTGCAAATAGCCTGCTGATATGACCCTGTTAGCCCCAGGTCACAATTCCTTACCACTGGGCCTTGCCTTGCTGTCCTGCTCTGGGCATTAGAGTGGGTCTGAAAGACTCCAGTGCTTAATCTCCAGCCATGGTGGCTGGTGCCTTGCCATGGGACCAACTGTTATATAATAAACTCTGCTTCTGTGGTGGATGTCCCAGGGTAGGCCGGCCATGAAAATCCCAAATTATGAATAGCTCTGACGACAATGACTTAATAACAGTTCTCACTGCCTCTGTCTGTCTCCCAAGTAGCAAATATGGGTCTGAGAGTCCCGGAAGAATTTCTCCCACTCAAATTCTGGACTTTTCAAACTGCTAACTTATGATTGCTAAAGCACCCATTTCTATGATCCTGTCATCAGCTTTTTTGCCTCTTGCAATCCAGAGTTGCTAGTGGGGCTGTGCCACAGACAGCCCTGTGCAGACTGGTTTTTAGGCTAGGCACCTGTGATTCCAGTGAAAGGGTGGGGGGAAGAGAAAAAGAAAAGGTGGAAACTTGTGGGATCTTGTGAATGTTGAAAATAGGATATTAAATAATATTAATACCCAAAGCATGGAGATCCCAGCTCTTTCAGGTACACAAAGGTGCCCCTCTTAAGACGGATCCTTGTCCTACTCTTATGTCTTCTGTAGGAAATAGAGTTCTGGCCCTGAGTCACACTGGTTTGTTGCACTGTATTTAAGTTTCTTTTGCTTAGACTGTTTATCTAATGGTAATGGCAGAAGTTCTTGAGATCTTTATGATTCCTCTTTTTTCTCCCCTTATGGATGAGCTTTGTGTAACCAGTGTTCTAGAATACTATTTGTTAGATCAGGCAATGTGGGCAGCGACTAAAGGAGGCAGATTTAAAAAGGCCAGCGAATAGGCTTTCTTTGAGATATCACCCCTGGGCGGAACTCCTTCAGACCCACAGTGGACAGGAGAAAGGCCTGAGGAGAAACCCCGTGAGAGCTTGACTAGACTGGGATTTTATGGGGCTTAGGCAGGAAGGGAAGGGCTTGGGACAGGAAAAGGTGTTTTAGAGTCCCCTGTCCTGCTGGAGTTGGGGGGGCCGGCTGCGGGCTGGCTGAACTCCTGGATTGGCCAGGGGGTCCTGATGATTGACAGGCAGTAGTCAGGAGATCCTGCTGATTGATAGGTTTTTCTGTCAGTGCCTGATTGATATTTCTTTCCCGCACTGGCTGCTTTGTCCTAAGTCACTGCTACCAACCTGACACTATTGTCTCCACCCCCCAAACTCTTTATTTTCTGAAAATAAATAACCACCAAACAGCTGTTCCTGTGCTTCTCTGAGTTGGTATCATCTCCTCTCCCAAAAGACACCTGTTGATCTGATTCAAGCAGAGAGCTTGAATACTGGCTAGTATGCAGTGATTGGTACTCATCTGCCTGTTTCCCTCTTTCTGTCTTTTTCACTCTTCCTGTTGGCCTCACTCTGGTCAGGGTTCAGGATGGAGAATTCTTTCTTATTTTATGCTTAGTAATCAAATTCCAAGTCCTTCCAACTTTCAAATCTTTTCTTTGACACCCACTTCCTTGGTCAGCTGTTCTTTCACTACTTTGATTGTGTGCTTTTCTTTAACTACTTTGATTGAGGGTGGCTGCCTAGATCTGCTCTGCCATCTTTCTTTGTCCCTGACAGGTTTCTTTTTTACCTTCATTTTATTTATTTATTTATTTTTTACTTGGTGCTGAGGATCAAACACATGTGCTAGGTGAGCGCTCTACTGCTGAGCCCCAGCCCCAGCCCCAGCCCCATGTTTCTTAAGTGATAGGTAACAGACAGATGTGAGCTTTAAGAACTGAGGTTAAGAGGTTCATTCTATAAACTGGACCTACATGCTTTTCCCCACATGCTTTCTTTTAAAAAGCGCTTCACTGGATTGGGGATGTAGCTCAGTGGTAGAATACTTGTCTCACAGGCATATTGGGAGCCCTGGGTTTTATCCCCAGCACCGCCCCCCCCCAAACCCCCACCAAATGCAGTTTGCCTGCAACCTTACCCTGGCATTAGTCAACAGGATATGTTACATTCCTTAGGAAGCAGCCTGTTACCTACAAAACAGACATAGGCCCAAAAGGCTCTTTCTTGCTTAAAAGAACACAAGGTACCCTGAAGGACTGAGACTTTTGTGACCTTTACACAGATTTCAGTACTCAAGGAGACAGGATAATTAGAAGCAAAACCCCATAACCATAAAATCTTTTAATAACAGGTTCCAATTAGGACCAGTCACGATAGGCCAAGGTGACTCAGGATTGCCTTGGATCTTTGGCATATCATTTCGATAGAAAAATCTTCCCTCCTTTTGTTAAGACTTGTATGGTGGGAACTTGAATATCTGATGCAGTCCTACTGTCTATCAGAATTCAAGAGGTGGACCTTGGCAGGACTCTGGAAACTTCCCTGGGATCCCTGATAAAACTGGAAGGCAGGAGAGGTGTACTATCCTCATCCTTTCAGAGGGGACCACTTCCTCTCCCTTTTTCCTTTTTCTAGTCTCTTCTAATAAGCTTGCCTGCCTCTGTGCGCAACTCCTCTGAAATCCATGCAGCATCACAGGAGAACCCGTGACCGGACCTCCGCAGTTGCTGTGGCTCCACAGATGGCCTTGCTCTGTAACAGAAAGAACTTGGCTTCTCACAAACGAGTGGGAAAGCTATACTTTTCATTAATCTTTCTCTGTGAAAGATGATAACTGAAAAGAACACGTAATTTTTGGGGTGAGGAGAATGGACTGTGGGAGATGTAAGCATGACTGAGAATGAGGACAAGAAAATTAAACTTTAGTGGGCACACCAGCGATGCTGTGAGGAGATCAGTGAAGTGGCCTGAAGGAGGGTCACATGTTTGATATCCTAGAAGTAGGTCTGGGTGTATGAGGAGCTAGAAACTGAGAAGGAAAAGCATAGACAGCCACTACGAGAATCTCCAAAACACCTTTTCCAGAACAATTCTGAACTTTGTATAACAGCATCTGTCTTTGGAACAAAGTTCTTTCTTGTGTCAGTTAGGGTGCTGAGTTGGGTACCCACCAATATACAGTGTGCGCTAAGGTGCATACAGCTGTAATATGCATATTTAAAATTCACATCCACTGCAGTGATAAGTCACTGAGCAGTGGAGATGGGAAGACAGACTTCAGTTGATGCCTAACCCTGTTTGAAGCAACTTGGACAGAATAAAATAATGGCTCCACATGAATAAAAATCCAGAGTTTGGGGGTATCTTTGGAAACTTCTCATATGATGTTACTCTTAGACAAAAGTGCTACGTACAGGCTTCAAATAAGCACTCACACACAAGCACAGCAATTTAACTTGGAGCTAGTATTCTCAGTTTCAATTTGAATCCGGTGAATAATACTGCTCAGGTACACGCTAGGTGAGCTTTTGGTGGTCACTTGGAGCAAAGTAGTGCTCCCCTGATGCAGCTTGATACCATGAAGTGTTTTTTTTTATTATGATTGCATCGCCCTTGTAGTAAAATAACCACATAGTTGTATATTTTAAAGTAGCTCAGTAGATAAAATTCCAAATTTTAGAAGATACATTTGAGTGATTTAGGTTTATGAACTTAAATTATTTATGAATATTGGAATATGACATATAATGATTCTCATTACTGAGATCCCTGAGGAATCTGTGGGGAAAGAACATTGTATTAGTGGTCCAGAATCCTTTGCTGTGGGTCTTAACTTCCTTGTTACCAGTTGCAGGGTTTGGTCGTCTACATCTGGGTATTTGTCACCTCCTCTTAGTCATTAAGTCTCTGTGTTAGTCTGTTTTCTGCCATATCAGAATACCAGACAGGGTTATTTATTTATGATGAAAAGAAATTTATTGTTTACAGTTGTAAAGTCTGGGCAGTCCAAAATCAAGGTGCTGGCATGAGGTGAGGGCTTCCTTGGGTAATGATCTGTGGTGGAGGAGAGAGGATAGAGTCTGAGGTTATCTTTCTATTTGGATCCCATTTCCACCATAAGGAACCCACTCTTGTTATAGTAGAATTATCCCATTCACAAGGCAGAGCTCTTACAACCTATTCATCTATTAAAGGTCCCATCTTAATACTGTCACAATGGCAATTAAATTTCAACAGGAGTTTTTTGGGGGGATTTTTCTAAACATATCAGCCTCTGCCATCATAATTTCTTAACTGATCTTCCTACTGTGTAGAGGGGACAGTGGGGAAGGGTACATGTCTTTAGGAAAGTGGGGAACTGGTGGGAGACACACAGGGCACACTTTACTCTCCAGAGAGTAAAAGCTGACTTGGGCTATGCATGTGTGCTCTTTTCAGAATCTGTGAGGAGTTTCTATGATGGTTTGTTCAGCTCTCTGGAGGGCTGCCCATGCACATGTCTGCCTGGTGAGGAAGATCAGTCCTGTCAGCAGAAGCCATCAGCATCAAGTGTGGGGCTCCAGGCCGGCTACATCAGAGTTTGTTGCCCAACGAGCTCCAGGCAGTGTCACAGAGTTGCTGGGCAAGTCCTACCCTCAGGATGACCATACCAACCTCACCCAGAAGGTCCTGTCCAGGGTTGGCAGGAATCTGCACAACCAGCAGCACCACCCTCTGTGGCTGATCAAGGAGAGAGTGAAGGAGTACTTCTACAAGCAATATGTGGGCCGCTCTGGGACACCACTATTCTCGGTCTATGACGACCTTTGTCCAGTGGTCACCACCTGGCAGAACTTTGATAGCCTGCTCATCCCAGCTCACCACCCCAGCAGGAAGAAGGGGGACAATTACTACCTGAATCGAACTCACATGCTGAGAGCACACACTTCTGCACACCAGTGGGACTTGGTGCATGCAGGACTGGATGCCTTCCTGGTGGTGGGTGACGTCTACCGGCGTGACCAGATTGACTCCCAGCACTACCCAGTTTTCCATCAGTTGGAGGGTGTTCGACTCTTCTCCCAGCATGAGGTGAGTCTTGAGATGTTTCTCATCTCTGAAGGACATCATTTACATTTTTTGCTATTGTCAACAAAGGTTATCTCAGTAAAATTGGTAGAATCATTCTTGATTTTTATTTTGCTATAGTGAAGCATCCATTTTTTTATACCTTTATTTCATTTATTGATTTTTATGTGATACTGAGTATTGAACTCAGTGATTCACATGTGCTAGGCAAGCGCTCTACCACTGAGCTACAACCCTAGCCTGAAGCATCCATTTTTCATGATGTCTTTTGTACATGGTTTCTCACCCTCCATTGTACATGGCAGATTTGTTATTAATATAACTTCAGAAATCAGATATTGTATTCTCTTATCTGACCTTATCCTTTCTCTCAATACTCACCTGCTTTTCTCCAAGTCACGGCTTGTGAATGGATAGTCTGTGGCTCAAATTCACTCTTAATTCAGATTGACTAAAGATACAACACTGAAACCTGTGGTCAGGTTATTTCAGTTCTCAGTTAGTAGAAGTTAATTATGTTTTCATGCTGTTAGAGATAATGAACTTCTTATATACCTTAGGGGATTGGAGATGTATTGGCTTCAACTCTAAACTGTTCTCATTCCTAAGCTCTTTCCTTACTCTCATTCAAATGATGATTTGGAATGTCTTAATTGCTGTTGTTTTTGAAGTATGTGTTTGAGTGCATAAAACTTTTTTAGTCAAGAAGTCAAATACTCCTTGCTTCTGTTATATTGTTAGTGTAATATATTAGATGCATTTTTGCAAATTACAAAAATTCCTAAATAGCTTGAGTCCATTTCCTAAAGAATTCTATCATTTATCCTTAATTCGTATGTTAATTCGTATGGCTCCATTTTCATTGTGAGAAAGAAGTAGAATTAAAGTAGGCTCAGGAAGTATTTCATTTACTCTTGTAGCAAAAGAAGTAGAATTAAAGTAGGCTCAGGAAGTATTTCATTTACTCTTGTAGCAATCTCCTTCCAAATATTGCTCATTGGAACAGGAGGAATTATTATGGTCACAAAACTCCCTTCTGCAAACACAAGCTAAATTGGCTGTTAATATGAAAATAAATAGTATAGGAACCTTAGGCTAATAAATAACCATTGTTGTATTGTATTAAATAAGTCATTAGCTGGGGAGGACTGGATGAGACTGTTTCCTCATTCTCTTTGCTTTCTGCTTGATTCCGAAGGTGAATCTATGTTATCCTGTGAATCTATGATAATTCAACAATGGGTTAGCCTTCCGCAAAAGGCCATCAGAGCCGTCTCTGGGGAGCTTAAAGTGGTCTTACTTCTTGGAATAGTTGACTGTTTTCTAAATTAGGAATAATAACTATAAAAAAGAACGTGGATGTATTAGGAAACTAAAAGAAATGAACAAAGACAGGTCAGAGTCTGGGAAATATGACCAAGTGATAGAATGTCACTTACAATTAATCTGCAAGAGGGGCTGTGATGCCGGTAATGTGATGTACAGGTCACAGCATTGGACAGGTGTGCAGTCCAGCTTACCTCATTAGAGAAATAAAACAGGAAAGTGCACACTGATGTTTATAAGCCTGCCTGCCGTGGGAGAGGCAGTGAAGGCTATGAAGTCTATGAGATGCACACTAGCATTTTAATGGAGGGAAAATCCAGGCTACCACAGAAGATGGAAAATAGGAAGAGGGTGGTGAAGTAGCCCTTTCCTTGGTTCATATTTGTTTGGGTTCAGTCCAATTTAGCAGGGAACATGCATGGCTAATCTAATCAGATAAAGTTACTGCGTGTTCTCATTTACAGTTTAAAAATTACTGCACACAGGAGCATGTGAGTCTGATTTCCTTATAATTTGATAAGGTGCTTTCAGTTCATTGTTTCATTTACTGCTCTTAATAAAAATTGTGTGAGGTAGATTATTTCCACTTCAATATAAGGAATCTGAGGTCTCAAAAGGTTTAATGACTTGCAGAAGGATGTGCAGCCAGTCAGCAGCAGAGCGAAAACTGGAACATGAGTCTTCTGAATTCATTGCCTAATTTACTGTATTTTCTTGATTTCCATGGAACTGCTTTGTAAGGGGCACCTGCTTAAGTCCCAAGGGGAGCTTTTCTTTCATCAGTGGGAGTGGGGAGGAGAGAGACATAGTGGTTTCAGAATTTCTGTTCTCAAAGTATTGGTTCTAAGTCTGATCTAATCTTAATCCTCAAGAAAATCTTTTTTTATTTTTCTGTGGATAGGAATTTTATATATGTACATACATATACAGATACATATGTAGAATTTTATATACATACATGCATACATATATAGATGCACACACACATATACATACATACACATGTACATACATACTAGGGATTGAACTTGCCAGTGCTCTGCGATTGAACTGCATCCCCAGCCCTTGTACTTTTTATTCTGAGGTAGAGTCTCATTAAGTTGCCCAGGCTGGCCTCGGACTTGCAGTCCTCCTCCCTCAGCCTCCTACAAATGTCTGCCACCATACCTGTCTATTTCTTGTTATAAAGCTTTCCTGTTATTAAATAATCTTTGTAATCATTTAAATATAATATGTAATTCAGCAAGAAGAAAATTGTAGAATTACAGGGCCAAAGAAACAGTGATGCACATAGAAAGGAAATGAACTATGACAAAACATTGTTTTATCTCAGCATGGGGGAAAAACCCTTTTGTGTTTTGAAAAAAAGATAAAATGAAAACTACAAATGACGCTAACAAATTGGAAGGGGCAATGAATAAGTAAAGTCTGCTAAAGTTTTCACATTTAGGGAAAGGATACTGAGTTAACTCCATGCCTTCCATACTGATACAGTGAAAAAATAATAGTTTAGGAAGCTTTGTCAGTTTAAAAGAAGTCAGCATAAAGGAAATAAAAGGAAGATGGTAAGTAGGAATGAAAAATATAGGCATAAATTCAAATATATCATTATTTACAAATTAAAATGGGTTAAACTTAGCAATTAAAGAAACTCATTACTAGATTAAATATTTAGAGACATCTGAAACAAAGGACACCTAATGTTGAAAATAAAGGATGGGAAAGTGATATATGCAGCAAATGCTTACCAAAAGAAGATGGGTACAGCAGTAGTGTTCTTAGGTAATGTAGAATTTATAGAAATGATGATAAATAGGGTATAATATATCAACCAACAACCCTAATAAATTATGAACTTTTATGTATGCAGTATTTTAACCTTAATACATAAAGCGAGACTGAAGAATTAAAAGTTGGATTTGCCAAGTTCTTGATTATGGTAGAAGATTTTACTTCTGTTAAAAAAAAAAAAAAAGCAAAACAACAACAAAAAAACCCACCACTACTGTGGATTAAGCAGAAAAAATGAGTAATGATAAAGGATATCTGAAAACCATGATTAAAAAGCTCGATTCATTTTATTTTTAAAATATGAAACTGTATTTATATGTGAGTGCATATGAATTCTGTTATTTTTATAAATGTTTTGTGTCTATATGTGGATGTCCATTTATATTCTGTACCCAGGAGTCAAATCTATATAGTTTTTTGGAATATTTAAAATAAATTGCCCATTATTAGTTGATAGGTGAAGTCTAAATAAATGTGAAAGAATCTATAACATGGATATATGCTTACTTGACTATATTGTAGTTTGTAGTTAGAAAGCAATTTTAAAGAATGATGAAAATTTTCATGGCCTCATAAATTTAAGAAATTCACAACTCTAGATTCATGAGTAGAGAAATATTATATTAAATTGCGTATTACTTACCACTCACCAACAGTGAAAATACTCATTTCATATTGCTCATATGTTGGGAGAGATTGTCACTTTACGATGGAGAATATTGCTAGACTCTACTTAAACCATACAGTCATAGCATTAAAAAGGCAAAACTAATGAGATGTTGATAACAGGGTATTTTTGGCATATTTAGCTTTAAATGTGTTTATTTAAAAACATTGTAACCTCTGAAAATCAATGAATTCAATGTTTACTTTAAGATGCTACAAGGAATTTTTTTTTTTTTAATCCTAGGAGATAGGTTGGTATGCCTATTAATAATATCCCTAGTGTTTCCAAGTGATACATCAGCTGAAACAGTGAAAAGAAAAAGTGCAGATAACATCTACATCACAACTAGGTGACAAGATCTTCACAAAAGGATGGGAAGTTAAAACTTACAGCTAGAAGTTCTGTACTGTTAGTAATTGAGGTCATAGAGGGACACAGTGGTACCTGAGAGAAGGACATCTTCCTAAGGGATATTTTCAAATAATAAGCATTGGGCACCAAATTTACTAGTGACATTTTGACAAAACGTGTTAATTTTATGTTCATTAATGAGTACTAATATCTCAAAAATGGGGTCAATCTCACTTCTGTGTCTCTGATGAAACAATATGATACTAACAGTAAAGACTTGCCTGAAAAGTTGGAGTTGATGAAGTTATAGATTCAACTCCCACATTTATAGGGCATATAGAGGACAGATAAACAGCGGAAATCACATAGAGATGTAAAAATCTAAATCTAGACTATGGGAAATTTATATCAGTGTTGCTCAAGATGAGATATGCAGAATATAATAGGAACGAAAAGTAAATAGTTGTATATCTTACTCTAATTAGGATCCTAGTCTTGGGGGTGTACAGGATGTTGAGCTTGTATAAATATATCAAAATACATTCTACTGTCATGTTTAACTAAAAAGAACAAAAATCTTAAAAAAATCTATAAAAAAATTTTAAAAAGAAAGTAAATAGTAGAAATGTTTAAGCACTACAGAGTGTTTACAAATGTGCAAGTTGTCCTCCTCCAGCATGTCCGTGCACTTTTTGTGTTAGCATGTAGATGGTTTCAGATGTTCTTAAATGCTCTTTGTGAGTTGCATGAGTGTAGTTTGTGTACCTGTTGTGTGTAGTAGGCCCACATCTCAGTTCATGACCAATTGGAAATATAAAAATGTCCCTTTGTCAGTTCGAGAAGCTTTGTTCTGCATTAGTGACCCAAT